CCCTGTTGAGTTGATCAACGTCTGCACCAGCACTTTATAGGACAAGACCGTGTGCAATAAATACTCCTGCACTTTGAAATATTCTTTGTTTGTGTCAAAGATAGCAACACTTGATCCTACTGAGGAACACACATTTGAAGGATAGCTAAAAGATAAGCTTGATAGTTTGTACGTTTTGTTGTCTATTCTGAATGATGTGAAGTCTTGTCCCTGGACATGTGTAGAACCTGTGGTTGAAAAATATAAATTTTAAAAATTCTACATGTCTGTATTTTAAGTTGGACGTTGTTAGTTTGAAGAGTATAACACAGGTGTTTAAAAAAAGCTTTTGATGATGATGGCAAACTTATGTTAATAAGGAATTAAGAAAAACCTTTAGTTTCCATTAAATCAAATTTAAAAAACTTACAACAAATGTAGAGGGTTAATATTCTCCAAAACAAGCGAAACATATTTTGTAATATTTCAAATCTTCTGGTAGTTGATATCTATAGAAGAAAAATAAATAAAGTGAACATTGGCTATTTTAAAGATCTCTTTAATAGCACAAACATCTGGCTCTTTTTAACATAGGGCCCAGGCTTTGTGATTTGAATTTCAAATGTGCAATCATTCAATTGTTCATTAGCCTTGGGAGTCATATTATAATAACATATGGCCAAATCAATGTTACACTACTTTCGTATGGTTGGATGGGTGAAATAAAAGACTGGACAATCCAGTTTCCCAATATCACACTACGCGAGGGTTATAAGGATGTTGAGTAATGTGGAGATTTGCAGGGCGGGTGCGGTTGTCTTAGTGGTAACTTCCCCCTATCATAGTTAATATTCGCACACTATTATGAAAAATAACTACCTAAATATTCTAAAAATTTGATTAAATAAAACACTTCAATAATTTATTAAATACCCAATCTGTTTGATAATTGAATGGAAACACCCATTATTTTTAAATATTTTTTTTTACTTATTTCTATCTTTTTTACTTACATAAATGAATTCTGGTTGGTTCGCGCCCTCATTATTAAATAATATGATAAATAAAAATATATTAAAATTCTTCATATTCTCAAAGTCAAATACTTGTCAAGCGGATATTGAAAATTGATAAAATAGTTGAAACCAAATAGAAATAACAGGCATATAAAGAGTGCTTAATCTACAAAAAAGCTTTATAATGCGTTAAACTTTGCAATCAGCAACATAGTAGATTTCTTTAAAAAAAAGCAAATTTCGTGCTTATCCTAAATATTCTATTCAGTTCCAAAGCGAATAACAGTATTCTGTACTTAAATCTAATACCTAAACCGTTCGTAGCTGTTGGCCTAACCTAAACGCGAACTCTAACTCAACAATACCTATTCCATCATCGTTATCTTAATCCAAAACCCTCACGCTAGCACTATATATAACCCTTTACTCTAATATTACCTCATGATTACGGTTAAGTTTATTGTTTAGAAAAGATGTAGGGCCAAAATATAAATTGTCAGTGGGATATTGCACGACCCCGGGTGGTCCCTATTTTAACAAGCCACCGAGCTATTGGGCTTTGTGTTTTATTTTAGATCAATATCTATTGATTTTTAATTCATTGAAACTACCTGCTCTTACAGCCATTGAACGCCAAATGATAATTAGCTCATGTCTCAAATGTTATAATTGTTCATCTTTAATTACAACAATTACAATTATGTTAAAAAAATAAATGAATTTTTCCATTGTTTGCGATTGCTCTTAATTTAAATAATTTCTGTATTTTTTGCTGATACTCGGCTATCAAACATATTACATGTAATTATAAGCTTAATAGAAGATTTTGTGCCCGAAAATTGGCGATTAAATTCCATAGTGCGGTGTGATCAGGAGGTGTATAAATTAAACAGGAGGAGCTTGGTTCAACTGGAGGTGCTCTCAGAGAATAGTTTACTGGATGTCTGTGATTAAGACAAGAATATTCAGGATTTTTTTCAAACACGTTTTCAAAGACATATGCTACATTGTCATATTTTGCTATTGTATATAAACATATGAGATTGGAAAATATTGTTATACGTCATGTGAAGCTCCTGGTCACTATGGTATGTATGTTTGACCATAAGAGCCTTATATGGTCAATTTGATTGTAGTGTTACTCATTGCGAACTCGCTAAGTGTTTTTTTGTGCTTTAGCGGAACATTGACTGTCGTACAGGTCAACGCCTATTTCGGTGCCCAGGTGTCTTTGCGCATTATTGATTTTTACAATTTCATATAAATTAAATTTTCAAATTTCTATTAATAGTTTCGAAATTCAATAGCTTAATACGGTTGAAATGTAAGTAATTTAGAATTTAAACAAATACAAATAAGCAATGTGAACATATATTTATAATATTAGCCTACACGTATTTGCTTTATAAAAAACACATTTGACTGTTTTTATTTCGGTATAGTATTTGAAACCTTATAACTCTTTAGCTTAAAGTCATTCGTGTCGATAAACACTATGGCAAGGACTCATCTTCTTTTTGTATACACTAGTGGTAATTTATACTTGGATAACGAATTTTCTATTTGGTATTAATGTGTATCCTTGATTTTTAGTCTCTCTCTCTCTTTCTCTCTCTATTTATCTCTCTCTCTCTTTGTATATATATATATATATATATATATATATATATATATATATATATATATATATATATATATATACTTTCATTTCAATAGAGCATTATTTTCAAGTGTATCATCTGAGCATTTGAAAAACACTAATTTCAGCATTTTGAAACTTTAAAATTCGGATAGTAAATAATTAACATAAAAATATAACTCCTACGTTTTTCTAGCCTGTTGTGATAGAATTTCCATATTTCCTATTTCTGAAACTGGTTGATTGACTTATTACTGTTAAAAAAAAAATACCAAAAAAAATTATCATAAAAAAACCTTTCCAATATTTCTGTAGGATTTCTTTAGGTAACCTATTTCCGACTAGAAAGCGATGACAGCTTATGTTAACATCAGAGGGGAGGGTAGTAGGCGAGTTGACATTATTTTTCAACGGAAACAACTCGTATGGTGTGCCTTTGATAGTTAAATAAATTAGCTTGTCATTAAAAAATTAAAACAATCGTTTAACTAACAGAAATACAAATTTGTAAGATTATTGTTTAAAAGAGAAAATTTTAGGGGCTGCTAAAAATCAGGGGCCTTGGGCTCTTGTCCTCTCAGCCCCCCCCCCCCCCCTTTTTTTTCGAATCATAGAGTTTTCGGATGTATAGTACAACAGCCATGGACTGGTTTAAACAAGACGTAGGCAAAACAATTCATTTTCAATATTCTGTATCAGGATCAAAATAACATTTTACATTAAATAAATCGTCGAATAATACATATAAAGGTAACCGTTTGAATAATTGATTTTTTTCATTTATTATAAAATAAAAATAAATTACTATACAAATCCTTTTCACTGTTTTGTGTAGTAATTTTAATTTTTCAAAAATTCAAGAAACTCATTTTTAAGCAAAGCAAAAGACTGCTCGCATAGATTTAAAGACACATAATTAGAGAAATGTTGAGTCTGGTCTGTAGTCAGACTTACATATAAAACAGGAAGTAAGAGGATCCTGATTAAAATTTTTAAACAAAGCGTGTATCTTAGCCTTGTCTTGTAATAGCTTTCCTGCGTGCAAATTAAAAGTATGAATATAATTAAGGGGTCGTCCATAAATGACGTCACACTTGTAGGGGGAGGGGGGGTCCTTAATTTTGTGATTGTGTGTGATGAGGGTAGGGGGGGGGGGGGTTCAGTGTGACGTCACTTTTTTGCATTATAAAAAAGCAAATGTGTTTATTCGTTATTTCGCGTTTTAGAAAACGGTTTTTAATAAATTGTAATAGGAATTAATCAAAATACTACTCTATTTTGATATAGTTCTGACAAGATTTTGGAAAAAATATTGATGTTTCAAGAAAAATACAACAGGAATTTTGATGCTGAGGCGTGACGTCATTTAGGGGGGGGGGGTCTGGCTTTTTGTGACAACATGTGGCGAAGGGAAGGGGGTGGGGAGGACAAAATAGTAAAAAATAGAGTGACGTCATATATGGATGACACCTAAAAGCATTTTTAAATTTTTTTTTTTAAAATGATAATTTCTAAAAATTATTTTTACAGCAATGCTTGCTAATTATCTTCATTTATATTTTTAGCTACAGAAACTACTATAACCGCAAGAAGCTGAGAACCAAGTGCAAGAATGTTTTCTTGGATAATATTAACTATCTCTTTATGCTGTAAGTGACTAGCAGTAAATTTTGGTTTACTGTTTATACCAACCACGACATGCAACCATTATTCTATCATCTCAACCCACACAATTCTATTGTTTGAATGATACCACAGTGAACGACTGTCTATCCTGGTTTGACGCTAGTCCTAGTCATAACACTAGCCTTAGCTAACAACTCATACACATATCCTAATCTTAATTGTTGCCCAAATAACTTTTTCAAATCCCAATGAAATAATAGATATTATAAATATAAAATTTAATTATATCTACAAAAATAGAATTCTTTTTATTTTACATATATTTTTTAGGAAACATTTTGCTTGTAAACGCAATTTAATATTTAATACTTTTAAATTATTTAACGATGTGAATCTATTATTCAGTGTTGGAAAGCTCCAATGTCCAAGGCATTATTACATCTATAAAAGTTGGCAATACAGAGTACAGTGTTTCAAAATATAAATTCTACTATTCCTATTCTGTAACTGCATGTCGAAACATCAATAAAACAATCGCCATCTTTGATACGAACAATGAGTACTTTGAAGTTCAAAGTTATTTAAAAAGAACAATATCTCATTTTGAATTGTGGGTGGACATTATAAAAAATACCAGTGGGTATTATTGGAGATCAGAGCCTATTTCAGAAACTGTTTGGAGGCCTGGAGATCCAGACGATAGATGTCAACTCAACACCATTAAAAGATGCTTTGTGCTAATGACAGAAAATGGCTTGCAGGACTTATGGTCAGAATATAATTTCGCTACTGTTCTTTGTATGGATCGGTGTAAAGAAGGTTTTAAGCTTGGCTCTGATGAAGATATATGTGTTGATGTAGACGAGTGTCTGAGTTCTCCTTGCAAGCACAAGTGTAACAATGTAGACGGTAGCTACACGTGTGGGTGTAACGACGGTTACGTGCTTGGAGCGGATATGACGACATGTGAAGACGTCGACGAGTGTCAAAATACATCAAACCAGTGTTCTCAGTTATGTAATAACTCAGTAGGCAGCTACAACTGCAACTGTCGCGAAGGATACACGTTACAAGACGACAGATTTTTGTGCGTGGATGTCAACGAATGTGCTTCACACTTGAATAAATGCTCACAAATGTGCGTAAACACGGAAGGCGGCTATAAATGTAGCTGTCATGTTGGTTATGTGATGGACACAAAGATTGGAGACTGTGTTGATGTAGACGAGTGTCAAACTACAACACACAACTGCTCCCAGTTATGTAACAACACAGTAGGCAGCTACAACTGCGACTGCGATAGAGGATATAGTTTACAAGACAACCGATTTACCTGCGTGGATGTCGACGAATGTGCTTCACACTTGGAAAACTGCTCACAAATTTGTGTAAACACGGAAGGCGGCTATAATTGTAGTTGTCATGTTGGTTATGTGATGGACACAAAGATTGGAGACTGTGTTGATGTAGACGAGTGCCTGAGCTCTTCTTGTCAACAGGTTTGTACAAACTTCAACGGCTCCTACAGCTGTGGATGTTACCATGGATACACGTTGTTTTCAGATAACAAAACTTGTGTGGATATAGACGAGTGTCAAACTACAACACACAACTGCTCCCAGTTATGTAACAACACTGTAGGTGGTTACACCTGTAGCTGCCATCAAGGTTATGAGTTACACAACGACAGCAGATTTCTCTGTGTGGATGTCGACGAATGTGGTTTAGGAACTGACAACTGTTCTGATGGTTGTAAAAACACGGCCGGTAGCTACGTGTGTACATGTAAGGACGGCTATCACATTGACCCACACGATCCGTTTACCTGTGTGGATATGGATGAGTGTCAACAAGACCGACACAATTGTACACAAAATTGTACAAATTCTATTGGTTCGTACGTCTGTAGTTGTTTCCATGGTTACCGTTTAGACAACAACGACAACGTCACTTGCTTGGATATCAACGAGTGTAAAGAAAACTTACACACCTGTGAAAATACCTGTGTCAACACATTAGGTTCTTACACCTGTACCTGCCCACTAGGTTACCAACTTGACCAAGATGGTAGCTCCTGTGTCAAGACCAGATCACAACCATATTGTCCCTGCTCCTGTAGGACTCAGACCAGAATCAACATGTCCAGTACTCTAATGGCCGTTCAGAAAGTAATTGACCAGATCAAAAAGAACTTGACCGTTGAGACTCACGACCTGTCGTCCTACATACGGAGCAAGACTTCCGCTACAGACGACAGAATGTCGTCAGAGACAGTCGGTTTATTTGGCGCCATTTTGTTCGCGATCACCGTGGGAGTTGTAGTAGTTCCTGACGTCATCACACTCATAAAGTTCCTGCTCTCAAAGCTGAGGCTTGTCTTTAGAAATAACGTCGTCAATGTTCAGTGAGAAGGACGGGGAAACAATTGTGTCTTTAATTTATTGTTTTCTGCATGTTGCTTATAAAAAAATTAATTAATTTCACAGATAGTTCTTAGATCACTTTTATAACTGTTTACAGTTTTAAAACTTTAGCACCAACAATCAATGTGAATTATTTTGTTGCATTATTTTTCAACCTCAATAAATGAAAAAAAAACAAATCCGTGAAGAATCATTTTGTAGTTAACAATAACTAACTATTTTTAGAGTATTTGTTTTGTGCACTAATAATTATAGTTTTTCCTATAGTAGTTCATAACATCATCACACTCATAAAGTTCCTGCTCTAAAAGTTGCGGCTTGTCTGTAGAAAAACGGCGTCGATGTTCTTTGAGGACATGAAGTTGTTATTAGCTGTCACGCGGGTTTTTGACTGTCTTTACCTGCAACTGAATGAACGTTGTTTTTTACTTGTTTACCCGTCGACTTTGAATTCTTTACACTATAACGTACATTTTTCAATTGGACAATATATTCATAACACTTTAATAACGTAGAAAGATTGTGTAATGTTTCATCATGCGTTTACTTGAATAAAAGTAGTGTCAGCAGTTTTATTTTTTTCTTGCCATCTATTTCACGTTGTAATCCATTAACTTGTTACAGCTATTTCTTTACGGTTATCAAAATATAGACGTTTTTAGCTTCCACTATTTAGTAGAATAGCAAACTGAACCGACATTCGACTGTCATCCCCAAACGTGGTTGAACCATCGTTTCCTGAGGCCTACCATCTGGTACTGATGCCTGTCATTGGGTACTAAGGCCTACCATCGTTTCCTGCGTCCTACCATCGGGTCCTTAGAACTACCATCGTGTCCTGAGTCCTACCATTGAGTCCTAGGCTGGAAGAAAACTGCGTGGTTGGGCTGGAAAAGCGTATTGATTTTAACTCCAAATGCTCGAGTTCGGACCCCTTGAAAGATGAGGCTTGTTAGCTGGTGATAAAAGTCCCTCTAACTCCAAGATCAAACAGAGTTTGCTGCCTGTTTTTTTGAAGCAAATCCAGAAAGAAAAAGCAGGCTGGTCAGAGTCAATGTACCATATAGTTACATAACATGCATGTTTACGCTGAATAATTGCCTGTGTAGAAGCGTATCCATTTATAGCAATTAAGAATGAAGGGTAAGAAAAAAAGTCAAATTTAATAATTGATATATAGGCCTATATGTCGCATATATTTAAGGATGTTGTGTCGCAAATGTATTGATGAAAATGTTTATGTATCTTTTGTATACTTTTAAAAAAAAATCAAGTATCTCTGATTTAAAATGTATCGATTCATTTACTGCACAATGTATAATTTTATCTTAACAGACAATTGTTCTCTCTCTTTCTCGTTCTATAATTCTATCTTTATCCCTCTCGATAGCCCCATCGATATCCACAACTGTCGTGTAGCAATAACATTAATCGTGTCATTACCTTACGGTTATGGTTAGGTTAAAGATTTGGTTCAGGACCAAGTTGTGTAAAATCAGGGGACATTCAACTACTCCAGGTTTCTGACGCCGTTGGGGGAGGTATTATACAGAAGATAATTAACCAAGGGGTTACTTCTGTGAGCAGGTAATTAAATCTTAATTTTTTCAACGCACACATTATAACAGTCTTTTATTTACATAATCTTCACATCGATAATTTTTAAAAAATCTTGAAACCTCAACATTGATACCCAGGTTTGAACTCTATGGTCGCATTTTACCTTCAGAGAGGGATTTGTCCACTAAATTGAGTATCAGAGAAATGTTAAATAAAATCTATATAACTGTTTAAGAATGACGAGGTTTTTTTTTTTTTTTGCTTTACAACTTTAAAAAGTAAAAATCACGATACAAATGTATTTGAAGTTGTGGGGAGCGGTATTAAATGTTGGATGGAAATATCTGATCTCACTTCAAGAGGGTGACTTGTATTTTGTATAGAAAAGTGAAAATAGGGGTCGAGGCTACACAAGTGTTAAAGTTGAGTGTCCTTTATGTGTTACCCATACTTAAGGTAAAACACCCTATAATGATACTTTTTTCATTCATACACGACACAACTACTTGTAAGTAATTAAAACTTGGCTCCCAATATGCTGAATTGTAAAGTTCGATATTTTAAAATGTTTATATATATATATATATATATATATATATATACTAGCGTACCCGACTCCCGAAGAAAGTTTGACTAAATATATTAGAAGGATTAACCAACGCGTTACCAATCATATGTTCTTAGACGCGTGACCTTCTTTTCTAAAAATGAGTTATTTAAATGTAAACAATGCCTGCGCTTGGATCATAAATATCAGGACACGGGTTTACCTACACTACCGCATGAAAACCTTGAGTGTACATTAATCACTCACCGACATAATATGGTAGAACACACTTCGGTGACCGCCCATGTGTCAGAGACGTAGAGGCCCGCTCTCAGGAGCCCCCCCCCCCCCCCGATTACACTACCGCATAGGCGCGGCGTACGACCCCTGGCTCCTTAAAATAGCATCCTGTTAACAATGATGCAGATTGCGTCATTCACTAAAGTGACACAAATGAACAGGATTTGTTATTTAACACGTAAAAAAATTCTTTGACGCGTTTTAAACATCAGTGTGACTGATGCAATATGTTAGCGTTACTAATGGTCGATTCTTAGATGCTCGATCTCAATTTCTGATTGGATTATCTAAAAATAGATGCTAATTGCATCATTCGCAAAGTGACGAAACTATTTGGATTTTTTTTACGGACAAAAAGAAACATCCCAGTAAATAATCTAACGTTGGTTAATTTTTCTGATTATTAAAATAAAACGTATTACATGGCCCTCAGCGGCAAATGTGAGCCTTTGGGGGCCGAAACAGACATTTTTATTTGCAGCCTAATCGCATCCTACCAGGGCGCCAGAGGACACGCCTGATTCAATTTAGTAAGCATTTGTAACGCCGAATACTATTCATTGTCTATCACACTGTTTAGACAGAACATATTCACCATAGCGCTCACGGGAAAAACCAGGGCGCCAAATCGCATCCTGCCGGGGGGCCGCCCATGCAAAAATAAATTTCCCCGCCCACTCCACCCACCCATCCCTATTCCCCCCTCCCACCTCAGAAACCTTATCGGGAGTATTCATCAACTCCCTAAAGTTTTATGGCACCGGGATAAATTGCGTCGACCCGCAATAGTCTTTTATTTTTAAATACCGTATATTGAGAAAAATCCCATCATTCCGTGCAGCCGCCCTTGCGAAATTAAAAATTATTTTTTACAGAACCCTTCCCTTGAGTGTTCTAATCAAGTCCCTGAGCTTTGATGGCTGTTGGATGGATGAACGTTGTGTGACCGCAATCAACTTTTATTTTCATATACCATATATATAGAGAGAAAACAAATCGCGCCCTACCATGGTGCAACCCCTGCAAATTTGAAAATGTTTTCAGCGCAGAAACCTCCCCAGGAATATTCTCAACATCTTCCCAAAGTTTCATGGCGATCGTGTCACCGCAATTCACTTTTATTATTTTTATATACCGTATATAGAGAAAAATCCCACCATTCCGTGGTGCCGCCCTTGCGAAATAAAAATATTTTTTATAGAACCCTTCCTTAGAGTGTTATGATGAACTCCCCAAAGTTTCATGCCTATCGGATAAACGGTGTCAAAACAAAATCGACTTATTTTTATATACTGAACATAGACAAAATACAAATCGCGCCCTGCCGGGGCGCCACTCCTGCAAAATGATTTTAGCGCAGAAACCTCCCCATGATATTTTCAACATCCTCCCAAAGTTTCATGGTGATCGCGTGAACTGTGTCACGGCAATTCACTTTTATTATTTTTATATACCGTATATAGAGAAAAATGGCACCCTCCCGTGGCGCCGCCCTTGCGAAATTAAAAATGATTTTTGTACAGAACCCTTTCCGAGAGTGTTCTAATCAACTCCCTAAAGTCTCATGGCTATCAGATGAACGCTGTCAAATCTTTTTATTTTTATATACCGTATATAGAGAAAAACAAATCGCGCCCTGCCGGGGCGCCACCCCTGCGAATTTGAATTTTTTTTTTCGCAGAAACCTCCCCAGGAATATTCTCAACAACTTCCCAAAGTTTCACGGCGATGTGCTGAGAGGTGTAGTAATGCATAAAGGACAGACACACAGACACACAGACATACATTTCTTGTTTATATATATATATATATATATATATATATATATATATATATATATATATATATATATATATATATATATATATATATATACATATATGTATATATGAATACTCACCGGTTAAACCAGAACAAAGTCACCAGGAGAGTCTGCAGATGGCTGTAAGCTACATTACAACCCATTTATGCGTCTTAAAACGTATAGAATCACTGTCGCTTATCAATTATTGGCTTTCAGTAACCGTACCAAACCTTTTTATTCTTATTCTAACTGCCAAAGATCCTCAACCTTTTGTTGCTTCCAGAGCAGTGGCACAGCATAATGTTCCGTCAGACCCAGAGAAATATATTCCCATTACAAAGCGATATGGTCCATTAAGCTTTGTAGCAGGTCCTGGAACATCAGGGGCTTTAAATAAATGTTGTAGGGAGGGGGGTCAGTAGCGTACGCAGGGGGGGAGCAGGGGGAGCGGCCGCTCCCCCTCTGGCCATTTTCAGCAAAGTGGCGCCTTTTTGGAAACTTTTTAAACTCAAAGTTTTAAACAATGATATTTGTTAAAAAAAAGTTTTGGTCAGCACATGTAAATCACAAGATTTCTTTTCATGAGGCAATTAAGCATTATTGTACTAGTCTAGTAGTGTCTACGTTTACAACACGTATTAACAGCTGCATCAGTTTTCCATTCTAAAAATAACCATTTCGATGCATTGCAATGTTTAAAAAACCTCTACGGTTAGTACCACTTGGCAAGAGGGGTGTTAAGTTTAAGGCAACTGTATAATGTATTTGCTTACGAATATTTGAATTAGAAAATGTTATACATAAAACTTCACACATAATTACTTTATATATACAGTTTGAATCGTGTTATTATTTTTTTTTATTACAATACAGAAACAAATACAACTGATGTGGCACCTCTATTTAAATTTACTTATGGGCGAACTGCGTAACGTTGGGGAAATGTTGACAAGGTTAACAACGTCATCACGATGAAGTGGTAGTATTATGACAGTTTGGGCGATAGTGATTACAATTATAAATTATATGAAACAGTTACAACCCCCCTCCCCCATGGACCCCTCTGTAAAAACTATTGTCATAATACCACTGCTACTTATTTAAATCTATTTCTGAATCAGTATACATGTGTAATTTATATGTATGTTTAGAACAGTCATCTAAAAACGGATACTATGTTCACTCTGAGTTGGTTATCTCCCCCCCCCCCCCACCTCACCACCACAATTGTGTAGAGCGACATTAATGTCACACCTAGGTATACACTGGTTTGGATAATTGACCTAAAGTGACCGGACAGTGGTGAATGAAGTTGAACCCACCCCCTCCCTCCCCACCCCCAACCCACCCCGAACTGATCTGTAAAGTACTTTTGGGAAAACGCGTAATGATGTACCAAAGTACCATGCCGCAAGAAAATTAGCTTTTAAAACGTAAAAATATGTGAATATTGTTTTTGCAATTACCAGTAAAAGTGTGTGTGATCAATACAGTGATCTAACCCATACCTATCACTATGTTAAAAAATGATCTTTAAAGAACACAAAGAAGCAGTAGTTAATTAAAAACATATGATCTGAACTAAAAGACCGGTATTTAGTTAAATGTAGGCTGTTATTCTAACTGCCTTATATTGAATCGAAAAGCGTGGTTTTATACCAACTCTGATTTCAAAAACTTTCATTATGCTGTAATACTTAAGCATTTATGATGACGATATATTTAATTCTGATTATAGACAAAAACATTTTGTAAACACGAATAGTGTTAAACAATTTCATTATATTCTAAAGTAATTATTTATCTGTTTTAACATTTATAATTAAATGTGTAGATATACACATATTGATATTAAGACATTGATTATTTCCCCTATTTCACTTGTCTTAAATAATTTCCCAGGAATTATTATTTAAGAATTTTTTTTTTACAAGAATTACAAAACCGATTGTGTTACGTTCATTGTTTTTGGTTGTGGTGTGTGTAAATTTTTTTACATTTTTTTTTGTTTAGATTGATACAATTTTTGTTTTGTCGGCCTACACTGTGTGTTTTTTCTTAATTCTTCAGAGAGCTACTTTCAATTTATCTTACATCATAGCGAAGTAATGACATACAGCTAGTAATTTTATATATATATATATATATATATATATATATATATATATATATATATATATATATATATATATATATATATATATATATATACATATATGTATATATATATAATACACGTATATAGAACGTGTTAAAAATTCGGCGCCTTTTTTTATCTTTTCGCTCCCCCTACAACGAAAACCTGGATACGCCTCTGAGGGGGGTTCTTTTAACAATTCAATTAGCATAGGAATCGATTTTCTCGACATTAAAATCAAATTATGTTTAAGTACGGGTTCATTGGTTGAAACATCGATGGCCACTTAGGTAGTGATGTATGAGTGATGTTAGGTAGGACATTTTTTATCACATTGCCATTTTTATGTCCATCTCACTTTTTCTTTGCGACAAACTACAGTGACCTTTTTAGGTTAGAGTACCACGTTAAGATAAGGAATTGTGTAACACGTGAAAGATAAACAAATAATTATCATCTTTTTCTGTTCGTGTCCAAGACACAAGAGGCAGATGAAGTAGAGTTAATCTGTTTCAGAAACCTTCATATATGAAGGGATATTGTGGTCAGCATTATGCCTACCTGCCATTGTTTTCCCCATCATAGCACAAGGACGTTCTACTGACTTAAACACTGATTCAAACATGATACTTTCGGGTTAGTAGTCTCGCTCTCTACCACTAAACAATAAATAGATAGATATCAATTACAACAAAAAGTACTTCATTACAGTAGTAGACTAGTACAGCTTTCTTGAAAATAGCGATTTTATTAAAAACGAATCCACAGTTTTCAAAGCTATATAAAAGAGCGGTAAATATATACAAAAATATTTACTAAAATCTACAAAACACTGACTTTAAGTGTAATATTGTCTGCATCAGTAATAAAATATTTAAATTGTATACAAAAATATACAAACACATAATTTGAGCTACCTTGTTGCAGTTTCATTCAGTTTATTCTTCAGATGGGTAAAGCTCCCCCACCCGGAACGTTTAAGTCAGCCCATGAAAGTTTCGAATGTTACCCCCCCCCCCCCCCCCACCCCGGAATAAAATGTCTGAAAAAAAAACGGCTTTACTTATTGTTGCATGGTTAAATATGATAATAAAATTGGTCTTATATAAAAATTTGTATTTCAAGAACAAGGTAACCATTCCAATCCCGACTCACTATCCAAGGGGTCTAACTATTTCTAGATTATTCTTAACAATATCAGGCAAATTACCAAAATAAAAAATAAATAAAAACTATCTGTTCAAGATTAAGAAACCAATTAATGAAATGTATGCATAAATATTAATAGCATGTATCTGAGACATAAAGGTCACTTAAATTAACATTGAAATATTAAGTAATGCAACATTGTTGGTTCGTGCCAAAGATAAAAATACATGATGAGCATCAAAATTAAAAATAAAACAAAATAAATAGAATCAATTACTATGAATTTTAATTAATTGGCGATGATCCGCATGTCATGAGCTAACCTAAAGTAAAATGTCATATACACTCAACGACGTTTTTTCTGCAGACAGGCCTCAGCTTTGAGAGCAGGAACTTTATGAGTGTGATGACGTCAGGAACTACTACAACTCCCATGGTGATCCCGAACAAAATGGCGCCAAATAAACCGACTGTCTTTGCCGTCATTCTGTCGTCTGTAGCGGAAGTCTTGCTCCGTATGTAGGACGACAGGTCGTGAGTCTCAACGGTCAAGTTCTTTTTGATCTGGTCAATATCTTTCTGAACGGCCATTAGAGTACTGGACATGTTGATTCTGGTCTGAGTCCTACAGGAGCAGGGACAAGATGGTTGTGATCTGGTCTTGACACAGGAGCTACCATCTTGGTCAAGTTGGTAACCTAGTGGGCAGGTACAGGTGTAAGAACCTAATGTGTTGACACAGGTATTTTCACAGGTGTCTGAGTTTTCTTTACACTCGTTGATATCCAAGCAAGTGACGTTGTCTTTGTTGTCAAGACGGTAACCATGGAAACAACTACAGACGTACGAGCCAAAAGAATTTGTACAATTTTGTGTACAATTGTGTCGGCCTTGTTGACAATCATCCATATCCACGCAGGTGAAAGGATCGTGTGTGTCAATGTGATAGCCGTCCTTACATGTACACACGTAGCTACCGGCCGTGTTGTTACAACCATCAGAACAGTTGTCATTTCCTAAAGCACATTCGTCGACATCCACACAGAGAAATCTGCTGTTGTTGTGTAACTCATAACCTTGATGGCAGCTACAGGTGTAACCACCTACAGTGTTGTTACATAACTGGGAGCAGTTGTGTGCTGTAGTTTGACACTCGTCTATATCGTCACAAGTTTCGTTGTCAGAAATTAGGTTGTATCCATGGTAACATCCACAGCTGTAGGAACCGTTCAAATTTGTACAAACATGTTGACATGGAGAGCTCAGACACTCGTCTACATCAACACAGTTGTTACCGCCTGTTTGATTCTTTACATAACCTTCAGCGCAACTACAGTTGTTGCTGCTGTCAAGTCTCTGACCTACCCTTGAACAGTTGTTCTCCGTTTTTACAAAACATGTCGTCAAATCCGGTCCTAATTTGTTTTCCATATTACATTCACAACTATAAAAATCACCAAAAGTCGTACAAGTCTGAAGACAGGAAGAATTAACACACTTGTCTCCGCCAAAACAGTTAACTCCGTCTTTGCTCTGAGGAGACCCTTCTTTACCAGGCGATCTACAAAGAGCTGTGAAGTTATAGTTGCTTGTACTTTTATCCTGTAGCCCAAAAGGTGTCATCCTCACAAAGCATTGAGTCGTTGTCTGGAGTTGACACCCATCGTTTGGATCGAATATCGACCACACATTATTACTTATTTTTTCGTTTTTCCAAAAAAACCCGCTGCTATTTTTTATAATATCCACCCAAACCTGATAGACCGAATAAGTTTGTGCCAAATGGCTCTGAACTTGAAAATATGCATCGTTGTTATCAAAGATTGCGATAGAGCTTCCGATGGTTTTACAAAACGTTGCCGAGCAAAAGAAACTCTGGTTTGTTGGGGAGAGAGCGTATGTTGTGTTGTCTGTGCTGATGGTTATGACGTTTAACGAGTGAACATTTGCAAACCCTTGAGATAAAAGACAACGTTGTTAGTATTTTATCTCATCCGTCACTTGTATGTAGCATTAAGAATTTAACTAGCACTTATTAATTCTAATGTCTATACAGTGTTGTTTTGTTATTTAGCGGTCCATTAATGCTCAATAATAGCGACCCAGCAGAATATAAATAATGTTCTTCTTCGTATTTAAATCATCTGTAATAGATTGAAATAATTGTGAGGTCAAGGGAACTCACTCTTCTGTATTAGTATTATATTTATATTGTTATCTTGAGTGATGTCCCTTACATGTTGTTATGTATATAAGTCTCTCGCCACTTCCGTCTATCTCTCTCTTTGCATCATGGCTGTCTGTAAATAAAAGGCTGTTAACAACCAACGCGGCTTCTCGTCAGTCATTACAATCTACCTCATTTGGCGACGAAGGATAAACATCTACTAGAAAGAGCACCTACTTACGCAAAAAAGAGGTTTGCTAGAGCTTATTAGCTAATTATTTCTAGAATTATGGCGCTGTATGGCCAAATAAAAGAATTTGATGCGAATGATGAAATCATTCAAGATTACCTAGAGAGGTTAAGCTTTTACCTAGAAGCTAACGACGTGACGATAGAAGCCAAAAAGAGAGCTATTTTGTTAACAGTCATAGGGCCTCAACAATTTAGGCTACTAAAGGACTTATGCGCACCAGCTAGTCTAACTACCAAGAGCTTTAACGAGCTGAGCAAATTGCTAACAGACCACCATGCGCCTGTACCATCAAAGTTTCTATGTCGAGCTAGATTTGACACTAGGACTCGTCAGCCAAACGAGTCAATATCAGAATTTGTTGCTGCTTTACGTCATTTAAGTAGATTCTGTGAATTCGGAGACACGCTGTCTGACAGACTATGTGAAAAGTTTGTGACAGGTGTAAACAGCCCTGATATTCAAAGAAAGTTGCTGCTCGAGTCAGATCTAAAATTAGAAAAAGCAATACAACTCGCAACTTTATTCCAGCAGTCATCAGATGCGGCGAGATCTTTAGCACCTTCAGAGATCCATGCAGTAAACAGCAGGTTAGTCAATAAACATCAACCCCATCAGAGCATTCCAACTTATGCTAAACAGCCTGCTCGTTCAAATCCTAGATCTAAATCTAGTAATAATTATCAAAAATGTCATCGATGCAAAGGTCCCCATGCATCTCATCGGTGCAAGTTCAAGTCTGCAACTTGTTATAAGTGCAGTAAGCAAGGTCACATTGCCAAGGCCTGCTTTGCAAAGTCTTCGTCTGTTGCTAAATCTAGCCAGTCAAGACAGTACCGCAACCAAAGGCAGCACTATGTTAACTCTCACCAAGACTACCTAACCCAACCAATGAACCACTCTACCTGTGAAAATGCTCAAACTGATTCGCAGCCGGATTTCAACCTATTCTCTGTGAAATCAATAAGTCATGCTCCCATCAATGTACAAGTTAATATCAACGGTAAGAGCATCAGCTTCCAACTTGACACTGGAGCATCTCTAACAGTCATAACAAAGAAAGATTTTGACGCTGTCACAGGAGGATCAGTGCCTCTACAGCCATGTCACAAGTGTCTAACAACATACACTGGTGACAATGTTCCGGTAATAGGAGAGTGTATGGTTCATGTAAGTTATAATGGTCAAAGTGTTAAACTTCCTCTTCTTGTGGTTGAAGAAAATGGACCGCCATTACTAGGTAGGCACTGGTTAAGTGAACTTAAGTTAAATTGGGAGAGTATTTGTTCATTGAAGAATGTAAAATAATCTAGTCTTACTTCACTAGATAAAGTAATATCTGAAAATAAATGTGTTTTTGGTAATCCAGGATTACTAAATGATAGAACAGTGAAGTTAAGCATTAAAGATACAAATCCAAGATACTGCAAAGCTAGAGTTCCACCTTATGCAATGAGGAACAAAATTGAAAATGAGCTAAGTAGATTGGAATCTAATGGCATCATAAAGAAGGTAGACTATTCCGATTGGGCAACGCCCATTGTGCCAGTGTTAAAGAAGGATGGTTCTATAAGAATTTGTGGAGATTATAAAACTACACTGAATAAGCAAATAGAGCTAAATAGGTACCCTATACCTAACATTGAGGAAATTTCTTTGAATTTGGCAGGAGGAGACAAATTCACTGAATTAGACTTTAGTCATGCTTACACTCAAATAGAACTGCATCCAGATTCAAAAGTCTATACGACAATAAACACACATAAAGGACTCTACCAATATGAAAGACTATGTTTTGGCATATCATCCAGCCCTGGAATTTTCCAAGCTGTCATGGACAGTATTTTTAAGGACATTCCAAATGTTTGTGTGTACTTTGACAATGTGTACATAACTGGTAAGAATGACACTGAACATCTTAAAACACTTGATAAAGTATTGAAAATTGTTGGTGAAAAAGGTTTAAAGATAAACAAAGATAAATGTCAATTCATGCTGACAGAAATTAGTTTTCTTGGTTATATATTGAGCAAACAAGGTATCAGACCTCAACCTGAGAAAACAAAAGCCATTAAAGAAGCACCCAAACCTGAAAATACCCAACAACTAAGAGCTTTTTTGGGCTTGATAAATTACTATGCAAAGTTCATAGGGAATCTGTCTGGTAAACTATCACCACTGTACAAGCTGCTACAGAAAAATGCAACTTGGCACTGGGGTAAACAACAAGATACTGCTTTTGATTCAGCAAAAGAGGCTTTGTCTTCTGGCACCTTACTAACTCACTATGACCCAGGGAAAAGACTTATATTAACATGTGATGCTTCACCAGATGGTGTAGGAGCAGTCTTGTCCCACATGGATGAGAAGGGTGACAGACCCATTGCTTTTGCCAGTAGATCTTTGAACCAGGCTGAGAAAAATTATTCTCAGTTAGATAGGGAAGGCTTAGGCATCATTTTTGGTGTTAAGAAATTTCATAAGTTTCTGTTTGGTAGGAAGTTCACCATCTTTACAGATCATAAACCATTGCTAGGTTTATTTGGAGAAAACAAAACCCTACCTGAGCATGCCTCACCAAGAATTCAAAGATGGGCTATCACACTAACTGCATACAATTATGAATTGAAATACAAACCTGGATCTGAGAATAGTGCAGATAGTCTTAGCAGATTACCTTTAAAAAAACCAAAGCCTGAGCTACGTACCAGAAGATGTATTTGTTCTCTTCACTATCATGGATAACTCCAATATAAATGTGAATGATATTAAAAGAGAAACACAAAAAGATGAGTGCTTAATAAAAGTATATGAGTACTGTAAGAATGGTTGGCCTGAAGAGTCTGTGAATGATGACTTAAGGCCATATTAAATAAGAAATACAAACCTTTGTGAAGATAATATAAAAGATGGAGAAGATGCAGTCCATTATCAGTCAGAGTTGCCTAAACAAAGTATTTGTAACTTAATAAACGATTATGGTGATATGGCAATTTCAAATGTTTTAAAGAGAATACATTAGTAAGAAGGAATGTGATCATCAAACAACTTTGCTAACATCATTAGCACTTACAGAAACTAAAAGGGTAACATCAAAAGAAAAAAAAAAGATTTTTGCCATTTAATACTTTCAGATGCCAATTCAAAAATAGTTCCATTAAATCATGACAAACATTCATTGAAAGAGAATTTGGTGTTAATGAGAATGTGTATCTAAGAAACTATGGGAGAAAGGAAAAATGGATACCAGGTCAAATTGTTCAATGTACAGGACCTGTGCCTTATAAAGTTAAAAATAACTTGTGCAGATAATAAGTGTGAATCTGTCAATCCCACCAAGTCTGATCAGTTCACACCAACTCAGTTTGTTCCACAACCAAGTTCTGTTGATATGAGTGAACCAAGTTGTCTGGAGTCAGAAAATGTAAATTCTGGAGTTAATGATTTAAATCCTAGACCTCCTGAGATAGAGAATCCAGATGGTCAGAATCTTGAGTCACCAAATCAAAAGCCACTGAGAAGGTCAAGCAGGACAATCAAAGTCCCAAATAAGTTAGACCTATGATTTTAAAGGTCAAAAGGACTTTGACATTATTGTTTTGTATCTTGATTATGTTGTGGCATATTGTGCATTGTTTGTAAGGATGTAATCTACCATAGTGTTCATGTTACAATATAATTGGTGATTTTAGGATACTATCAATTGTTCTATTGAGAGATGTGTTATTGTGTTCTAAGGGTAAAGGGATGTAATAGATTGAAATAATTGTGAGGTCAAGGGAACTCACTCTTCTGTATTAGTATTATATTTATATTGTTATCTTGAGTGATGTCCCTTACATGTTGTTATGTATATAAGTCTCTCGCCACTTCCGTCTATCTCTCTCTTTGCATCATGGCTGTCTGTAAATAAAAGGCTGTTAACAACCAACGCGGCTTCTCGTCAGTCATTACAATCCACCTCATCATCCACATCACCCTCGTCAACATTTTTGAAGAACTAACTCATTATCGTATTCGAAAATGAAGGACACTTAAACTAGACTTTTAAAAAGGTAAATGTGTGAATAAACGTATTAAAGATAGAGATGGGCACAAGTGAGAAGAGCTTTGTGAAGGGCCCCTTCGTCTTGGGCACAAAAGGGAAAACATTATACATACACATCCACAAACACACACACACACACACACATATATATATATATA